GTACTAAGCCGGTAATTCCGTAAGTCCCAGGATGAGAGAAGGACGGTATGACGATATGAAAATCTGGATACCGCCCAACCCTATCGTCATGGACAGCAGAAAAGGATTCGAGACGGACATCAGAGCGGGAAAACAACGTGATTAAAAAGGGAGGAATATACAGTGAGTAAGGGACAGGACATTTATTCAACTGTGAAGACGAACTTTGGAATTAATAACTGCTAAATGAGCGGATGAGGATGGAACGTCAGTGAGTGAAGTGAATGAAGATCACGTGACTGAGGAAAATAGTTCTGTGGTTGAGGACAATATTGAAGTGATTGACAGTCAGGAGCCTATTGAGAAATGAAAAATGGCTGGAATTGTTGGAAAAAAAAGTACTCAAGCCTGTCAGCGTGAGTGAATGGGTGACACCCATCGTACCAGTCCTTAAGAAGGATGGTGAGCTAAATCAGGGTCACACAGTGTTTCTTGGTAGTCTTAAACAAATCTACTTTAAATCATGGGCTTAAAAAAAAGAAGACACCTGTACCATGTCAGATATAGAGTTGAAATGTATTACATTTTGAGATTGCATCCCAATATTACACTTTATATACATCACAGAAGACTGAAATATAACAAAACAGTTTCACATAGAAACGCCGGATTTTCGGCAGGTAAAACAAAAAAAAGTTTTGTAATTATGAAATTATGAAAAATATTAACATTCCACCCGTGAGTCCATAGAGGGCGATTTTCACGGGTTTAGCTGTGTGTAGAAAATTCTGCAAAATCGATCTCTGCCAAGCCTACTTTCAGATGCACATGGATGAAAAGTCAAAGGAACTGACCGTTGTGACACACAAGGGGCTCTTTAGGTACTATCGTCTACTAATGGAACAGATCTTGAGTGGATTGCCAGGAGTACAATGCTACCTGGATGACATCCTCGTTACTGGAAAGGATGAAGAGGACCATCTCCAAAATTTGGATGCAACCTTACAGAGATTGAAGGACTACGGACTGCGAGTTCATAAGGACAAATGTGCATTCTTCCAATCATTGGTTGAATACCTTGAACACGTCATCGATGCTATGGGCCTCCACAACGCTCTGTCCAATGTCAATGCTATCCTGGACACCCCAGCTCCTCAGAACGTGAGCAAACTACGTTCAATCCTGGAGTTACTAAATTACTATGGACGCTTTATCCCGAGCTTAGCAACGAAGCTGAAGCCACTGCATCAGTTGCTTTGTTAGGACAAAACATGGAAATGGATATAACAATGTGAGGAAGCATTCGTGAAAACCAAGGAAACACTCCTGAAATCTGAGGCACGGACCCACTTTGACTCGTCATTGCCCATCCAACTAGCTTGTGATGCTAGTCCATATGGTGTGGGAGCAGTTATGTCCCATATCATGCCTTCAGGTGAAGCTGATCGCTTTTGCATTGAGGACATTGAAAGTAACTACGCACCAATAGAACACGAAGCCCTATGCATAGTTTCTGGAGTGCATAAGTTTTACCAGTATCTGTACTGGAGGAAGTTCACCCTTCTTACAAATCATCATCCGCTGACGAGCATCTTTGGACTGCATACTGGGATTCCGTCACTTGCTGCAAGCAGAATGCAAAGGTGGGCTTTGTTGTTGTCAGCACACACCTACGACATCAAGTACCGCAAGTCAGACATGCACTGTAACGCAGATGGACTCTCCAGGTTAGCACTACCTGTGGTCAAACCAGAGTCACGTCAAATGGACGTCTTCTACTTCAGAGAAGTGGAAAATGCACCAGTCACTTCGACACAAGTGCGGAGAAACACCAGAAACGACCCAGTGTTATCCGAAGTGATGGACATCATCATCAAAGGCACAAGAGATGCTCCGGAACTGAAACCTTACCTTTCCAGGAGAAATTAGCTGTCAGTATAGTCCGGTTGTCTGCTGTGGGGGAGGAGAGTTATCATTCTACCTTCGCTGAGGAAACCAGTGTTGCAACAGCTACACGCAGGTCATTGTGGAATGATTTGCATGAAGGAAATCACACAAAGCTACTTCTGGTGGCCCGGATTGGATGGAAGCATTGATGTAAAAGCGAAAACATGTTCCTCATGTCAGAAAGTTCGCAAAGTACCTTAATCCATGGGATTGACCGGAAGAGGCGTGGCAACGCATACACATTGACTAAGCAGGTCCATTCGAAGATGGAATGTTTCTTGTGGTAGTGGGTGCTCAAAGCAAGTGGCCAGAGGTTGCCATCATTGAGGTCTACTACTGCAGAGAAGACCATCGAGATGCTTGGAGGTATTTAGTCGGTTCGGAATGCCACTCCAACTCGTTAGCGACAACGGACCGCAGCTACCGTCCCAAGAAATGGCTACATTCCTACAGGTGAATGGCGTACAGCACATCAGGTCTGCACCGTATCATCCGTCTACCAACGGGCTGGCAGAGAGGTTCGTACAGACCATGAAACATGCCTTAAAAGCGTATCAGGATCAAGAGACGCTGCACCAATGCTTGAACAGCGTCCTGCTATCCTACAGGAACACACCTCATTCAACCAACAAGGCTTCGCCTGCATCGCTACTCATGAAGAGAGGGCTACACACAAGCTTTGACCTACTCAAACCTCCGAACGCAAATGAGACAGATCAACCCCACATAACAAATGATACAGTTTACTATAGAATACTACAGTACTTACCATATAATTATGTAGTAAACTGTAGTATACTGTAGAATACTATACTACACACTGTAGTATTCCTCGATCATATTTAGTACTTAGTATAGAATTTTGTAGTATACTTTAGAATACTATAGTAAATACTAAAGTATTATCCACAAAACACTGTAGTAAATACTACAGAAATGTCTGCAAAAACACTACAGTCCACAAAAACACTAAACTGTTTTAACTATAGTAAATACTACATTATTTAATTTGATATACCCTGCCCATTCCTTTCCCCATATTCCAATTTGTGCCACCCGTAAGTGAGAAGCCTACAGTACATGCCAAGTATAGACCATATATTGTGTTCCCTACAGGTTATAGAAAAGAGCAGAAGCTCTGAACTCTCCGTTCACAACCCAGTCCTACCTACCTACCTACCTACCTACCTACCTACCTACCTACCTACCTACCTACAGGTTATGGAAAATGGGCTATTTTAGTATTTCTCCATAATGTCTCCTCAAGGAGAAAGCCTCAAAGATAATAAAACAAAAAAACTTTAGTAAATACTACATTAATGTCCCCAAAAACACTACATTAAATACTACAGTATACTACAGTCCACAAAAACACTACGGTAATTACTATAGTATATACTACAAATTTTTTTACTACAGTATTTATACTATAGTAAACTGTAAATACTACAGTAAATACTACAGTGAAGTCTGCAAAAACACTACAGTGAATACCATAGTATTCCTACCATAGTATACACTATAGTATTTTTCCATGAGGGATGTCAACAGGAGAGCCAAGTCAAACGTTGTGAAATAAGAGCAAAGGACAGAGCTTTCAATCCTGGAGAAACGGTCTTAGCTAGGAACTACCTCAGCGGACCAAAGTGGTTTCCTGCTACAGTCATTTCTCAGATTGGTCCTGTGTCCTACACTGTCCAGACTGCAGAGGACTGTTCATAATGGGGACCCCCCCCCCCAGATCCCCAAAGCACCAATGGTTGAACTGATCAGTGGTGGGAAAAGTACTCAATTGTCATACTTGAGTAAAAGTAAAGATACTTCACTCAATAAAAAGTGAATGTCACCGAGTAAAATACTACCTGAGTGGAAATATCTGGTACAGTGGTGGAAAAAGTACTTGAGTAAAAGTAAAAGTAAATGAGATACATACAATTCCTTATATTAAACAAAGCAGATGGCAAGATGTTTTTTTGTTTTGTTTTTTTACGGACAGCCAGGGGCACACTCCAACACTCAGACATAATTTACAAACAGAGTATTTGTGTTTAGTGAGTCCGCCAGATCAGAGGCAGTGGGGATGACAATGTGTTATATTGATAGGTGCATGAATTGGACCATATTGCTGTCCTGCCTGAATAATCAAAATGTAAGGAGTACTTTTGGGTGTCAGGGAAAATGTATGGGAGTAAAAAGTACATCTTTTCTTTAGGAATGTAGTGGAGTAAAAGTAGTCAAAAATATAAATAGTGAAGTACAGACCCAAAAAAACGTCTTAAGTATTTTTACCTAGTTACTTTACACCACTGGAACTGTTCCCTGTCTCCCGTTTCATCATTATTGAATTGTTATAAAGACGTGGTAACAGAAAGTGGTAATCACATACATTGCTAAAGCAAACATAAAGAAACATGTCAAATCTCTCTCTCCCTCACAGGAAGCTGTACAAGGCGGAGAAGTTGCCCTCCCACTCCTTTGAGATTGACCATGAGGACGTGGACAAGGATGAGGTCTGTTTCATGGATTCTACTCCCTTTAAAGTGCACTACTTTTGACCAGGGCCCATATGGCTCTGGTCAATAATAGGGCACTATATATGGAATAGGGTGCCATTTGGGACGTAGCTTGAGTATGATGAATAGTCCGAGGCCAATGATTAGCCCTACTGTTAAACTGTCATAATGCACGTCTGCTCACATATTTCTACTCTGATGTTTTTGGTCAAGGGCCATTGAGTACAAGCTTAATTCAATTGAGTTCAACTGAGCCAGAATCAATGACTCTCCAGGTCTCGGCTCTGTTACAGCAGGTGTCTGTTCATGACAAATCAGGCATCGTAGAATGAAACAGAACAAGTATCATATTGTATCTCAATGGCAGACATATTTAGACCTTGGTTATTGAGACATGGATTGGTCCCAAATGGAACTCTATTCCCTTTGTAGTGCACTATTTTTGACCAGAGCCCTATGAAGTTATATTCCCTAAATGTAGTGCATTTTATAGGGAATAGGTTGCCATTTGTGACGTACGCATCGAGCCTGATTTAAAGATGTCCGTTTTGTTTTTTGCAGGACACAACGTCTTTGTCCTCTTCTAAAGGAGGGGGAGGCGGAGGAGGAGGAGGGATTGGTGTGTTCCGATCGGGGTGGCTCTATAAAGGGAACTTCAATAGCACTGTCAACAACAGCATCACTGTTCGGGTGAGGAAGTGTGCCACAGACTCCCCCACAATCCCCTTCTTCTCTCTCTCTCTCTCTCTCTCTCTCTCTCTCTCTCTCTCTCTCTCTCCTCTCTCTCTCTCTCTCTCTCTCTCTCTCTCTCTCTCTCTCTCTCTCTCTCTCTCTCTCTCTCTCTCTCTCTCTCTCTCTCTCCCTGTCACGATCGTCTGAGGGAAACGGACCAATACGCAGCGCGTGGAGTGAACATGATGACTTTATTTAAATAAAAGCAACCACGAAAACAACAAACAAATGACGATAGTGAAGTTCCTACAGTGACTATGACTGAACCTGGAACAAAAAACCCACAAACCCCACAGGAAAACATACAGAAATAAATATGGCTCCCAATCAGAGATAACGAGCCGACAGCTGACACTCGTTACCTCCGATTGGGAGTCATTGACCAAACCTAGAAATACAACACTTAGAAACACCCAACCAAACATAACAAAATACACCCTGGCTCAAATACAAAAGTCCCGGAGCCAGAGTGTCACAGTACCCCCCCCTAAAGGTGCGAACTCCGGGCGCACCAGCATACAGTCTAGGGGAGGGTCTGGGTGGGCGTCTGTCCACGGTGGCGGTTCTGGCCCTGGTCGTGGTCCCCACCCCACCTTAGTCACCACCCGCTTCCCTAGCCTCCTCCAAATGACCCCCACCGGTTTAAGGGGCAGCACCGGACTAAGAGGCAGCACCGGACTAAGGGGCAGCACCGGACTAAGGGGCAGCACCGGACTAAGGGGCAGCACCGGACTAAGGGGCAGCACCAGACTAAGGGGCAGCACCGGACTAAGGGGCAGTACCGGACTAAGGGGCAGCACCAGGATAAGGGGCAGCACCTGACTCAATGGCGGATCCTGGCTGGCTGGCTCTGGCGGATCCTGGCTGGACGGCTCTGGCGGATCCTGGCTGAACGGCTCATGGCTGGCTGAAGGATCTGGCTGCTCATGGCTGGCTGACGGATCTGGCTGCTCATGGCTGGCTGACGGATCTGGCTGCTCATGGCTGGCCGACGGATCTGGCTGCTCATGGCTGGCCGACGGATCTGGCTGCTCATGGCTGGCCGACGGATCTGGCTGCTCATGGCTGGCTGACGGATCTGGCTGCTCATGGCTGGCTGACGGATCTGGCTGCTCATGGCTGGCCGACGGATCTGGCTGCTCATGGCTGGCTGACGAATCTGGCTGCTCATGGCAGGCTGACGGATCTGGCTGATCCTGTCTGGCCGAAGGCTCTGGCTGATCCTGTCTGGCGGAAGGCTCTGGCTGATCCGGTCTGGCGGAAGGCTCTGGCTGATCCTGTCTGGCGGAAGGCTCTGGCTGATCCTGTCTGGCGGAAGGCTCTGGCTGATCCTGTCTGGCGGAAGGCTCTGGCTGATCCTGTCTGGCGGAAGGCTCTGGCTGATCCTGTCTGGCGGAAGGCTCTGGCTGATCCTGTCTGGCGGATGGCTTTAGCAGCTCCGGTCTGGCGGACGGCTCTGACGGCTCATGGCAGACGGGCGGCTTATGCAGCGCTTGGCAGACGGACAGTTCAGACGGCGTTGGGCAGACAGGCAGTTCAGGCGCCGTTGGGCAGACGGGTAGTTCAAGCGCCGTTGGGCAGACGGGCAGTTCAGGCGCCGTTGGGCAGACGGGCAGTTCAGGCGCCGCTGGGCAGACGGGCAGTTTCAGGCGCCATTGGGCAGACGGGCAGTTCAGGCGCCGTTGGGCAGACGGGCAGTTCAGGCGCCGTTGGGCAGACGGCAGACTCTGGCCGGGCGACGCGCACCGTAGACTTGGTGCGGGTGGCAGGAACAGGCCGGACCGGGCTGGCGACGCGCACCGTAGACTTGGTGCGGGTGGCAGGAACAGGCCGGACCGGGCTGGCGACGCGCACCGTAGACTTGGTGCGGGTGGCAGGAACAGGCCGGACCGGGCTGGCGACGCGCACCGTAGACTTGGTGCGGGTGGCAGGAACAGGCCGGACCGGGCTGGCGACGCACACCGTAGACTTGGTGCGGGTGGCAGGAACAGGCCGGACCGGGCTGGCGACGCACACCGTAGACTTGGTGCGGGTGGCAGGAACAGGCCGGACCGGGCTGTGGAGACGGATAGGAGGCCTGGAGCGAACAGCGGACACCACCCGTCCTGGCTGAATGCCTACCCTCACACACTCTGTGTGAGGCATCCACACAGGACATACAGGGCGGTGTACCCCTGGCCTGGTGGCCTCCTGGATACTCCCCCTTTTCTCCTCCGTCAGCCCCGTCGTCCATGCCGTGTGCCCCCCCCTAAAAATTTTCTGGGGTTGACTCACGACCCTCCGACGATGGCCCTGCTGCCGCCGTTGCTCCTCTCTCGCCAGGGCCTTGATCCTTCCCCAAGGTCCCTTGCCTCCGAGCATGTCCTCCCAGGACCATGATGTGCCCACCTGGGCCATCGCCAGCCTCTCTATCTCCTTGCCCGGTGCCTCCTCCCATGTCCAGTCTCCTTGCTCCTGGACACGCTGCTTGGTCTTTCTTTGGTGGGTTTTTCTGTCACGATCGTCTGAGGAAACGGACCAATACGCAGCGCGTGGAGTGAACATGATGACTTTATTTAAATAAAAGCAACCACGAAAACAACAAACAAATGACGATAGTGAAGTCCTACAGTGACTATGACTGAACCTGGAACAAAAACCCACAAACCCCACAGGAAAACATACAGAAATAAATATGGCTCCCAATCAGAGATAACGAGCCGACAGCTGACACTCGTTACCTCCGATTGGGAGTCATTGACCAAACCTAGAAATACAACACTTAGAAACACCCAACCAAACATAACAAAATACACCCTGGCTCAAATACAAAAGTCCCGGAGCCAGAGTGTCACACTCCCTCTCTCCCTCTCTCTCTCTCTCTCTCTCTCTCTCTCTTTATTGGCATGGGAAACACATGTTTACATTGCCAAAGCAAGTGAAATAGATCATTAACAAAAGTGAAATAAACAATAAAAATTGAACAGTAAACATTACACTCACAAAGGTTTCAGAGGAATAGAGACATTTCAAATGTCGTATTATGGCTATATACAGTGTTGTAACGATGTGCAAAAGGGAAAATAAATAAACATAAATATGTATTTACAGTGGTGTTTGTTCTTCAACTGGTTGCCTTTTTCTTGTGGCAACAAGTCACAAATCTTGCTGCTGTGATGGCACACTGGTATTTCACCCAATATACACTGCTCAAAAAAATAAAGGGAACACTTAAACACAATGTAACTCCAAGTCAATCACACTTCTGTGAAATCAAACTGTCCACTTAGGAAGCAACACTGATTGACAATAAATTTCACATGCTGTTGTGCAAATGGAATAGACAACAGGTGGAAATTATAGGCAATTAGCAAGACACCCCCAATAAAGAAGTGGTTCTGCAGGTGGTGACCACAGACCACTTCTCAGTTCCTATGCTTCCTGGCTAATGTTTTGGTCACTTTTGAATGCTGGCGGTGCTTTCACTCTAGTGGTAGCATGAGACGGAGTCTACAACCCACACAAGTGGCTCAGGTAGTGCAGC